GGGAACTGGGAGCACTGGGAGGGACTGGGGGAGGGTTAGGGAGGGACTGGGCTTATTAATCCATTAATTAATCAATTAATCGATTAATGACTCATCTCAAGTTTCCTCTCATCCCCCTTTATTGGCCACAAATGAGATGAGTCGTTATTAAAAGCAATTAATTGCCCCCCCCAGGACTTAATTAACCCCTGGAAAGTGTTAATTAGTCCCGAGGGTGTTAATTAATCCATTAATTGATTAACCCATTAATTACTTTTCTCTCCATGCATCTCTTTGCTAGTTTCCTTTTCTCTCTTCTATCATTATCTAAGCTAATTAATCATTATCAGGAGCAATTAATTAATCCCTGGGAGTCTTAATTAGCCCCTTGAGATTGTTAATTAGTGGTAGGGACCCTAATTAATTAATCCATTAATTATTTCTCAATGTGTCTCCCACAATCTCATTCTGTTTTCTTGTCACCCTTTATCATTACTAAAGACAATTAATTACTATTAGGGGCAATTAATTAACCCAGGGGGGTGTTAATTAGTCCCCTGAAGTTGTTAATTAGTGGTAGGGATCCTAATTAATTAACTAATCAATTAATTATCTCCTAATGTACCTCTCTGTTGGGTTTCCCCTGTTTCTTTATCCTTCCAAAGAGAATTAATAAGAAGGTTAATAATTATCAGGAGTCATTAATTAACCCAGGGGGTGTTAATTAGTTCCTGGGTGTTATTAATTAGTGGTAGAGATCCTAATTAATTAATTGATTAATTATTTCCTCTTTCTTTTTTGCCTCTATTTATTGTTGTCAAAGATAATTAGTCATTATCAGGAGAGATTAATTAACCAAGAGGAGTCTTAATTAGTCCCCCGAGATTGTTAATGAGTGGTAGGGATCCTAATTAATTAATTAATCGATTAATTATCTCCTAATGTGTCTCTCTGCTTTCCCCTCCCCCTTTATCCTTATCAAACAGAATTAATAAGAGAGTTATGAGGATTAGTTAATTAACCCAGAAGGGTGTTAATTAGTTCCTGGAGATTATTAATTAGTAGTGGAGATCCTAATTAATTAATTAATCGATTAATTATCTCTCTCCCAATGAGTCTTTTTCAATCTCCTTCTATCTCCTTTCATTATTGTTACCAAAGAGACTTAATAAACCAATCAATCATTATCAGGGGGGATTAATTAACCCAGGGGGTTCTTAATTAGTTCCATGAGTTTGTTAATAAGTGGTAGGGATCTTTATTAATTAATTAATCGATTAATTGCCTCTTTCCCAATGTGTTTCTCTCTCAATCTCCTTCTCTCTCCCTTCATTATTGTAACCAAAGAGACTTAATAGGCCAATTAATCATTATCAGAGGGGATTAATTAACCCAGGGGGGTCTTAATTAGTTCCCTGAGATTGTTAATTAGGGATCCTAATTAATTAATCGATTAATTGCTTCCTTCCCAATGAGTTTCCCTCTCAATCTCCTTCTCTCTCCCTTCATTATTGTTATCAAAAAGACTTAATAGGCAAATTAATCATTATCAGGAGGGATTAATTAACCCGGGGAGGTCTTAATTAGTTCCCTGAGATTGTTAATTAGCAGCAGGGATCCTAATTAATTAATTAATCGATTAATTGCCTCCTTCCCAATGAGTTTCTCCCTCAATTTTCTCCTTTCCCCTGTTCCTTTATCATTATCAAAGGGACTTAATAGGGAAATTAATCATTATCAGGGGGGATTAATTAACCTAAGGGGGGTCTTAATTAGTCCCCTGAGATTGTTAGTTAGCAGAATAGATTCTAATTAATTAATTAATCGATTAATTGCCTCCTTCCCAATGAGTTTTTTCCTCAATCTTCTCCTTTCCCTTTTTCCCTTATCGAAGACACTTATTAAGCCAATTAATCATTATGAAGGGGAATAATTAACCCGGGGGGGCCTTAATTAGTTCCCTGAGATTGTTAATGAGCGGTAGGGATCCTAATTAATTAATTAATCGATTAATTGTGTCCTTCTCAATGTGTTTCTCCCTCAATCTTCTCCTTTCCCTTCTTCCTTTATCGAAGACACTTAATAGGCCAATTAATCATTATCAAGGAGAATAATTAACCCGAGGGGGTCTTAATTAGCTCCCTGAGATTGTAAATTAGCAGCAGGGATCCTAATTAATTAATTAATCGATTAATTATCTCCTTCCCAATGAGTTATTCCTCAATCTCCTTCTCTCTCCCTTCATTTTTGTTAACAAAGAGACTTAATAGGCCAATTAATCATTATCAGGGGGGATTAATGAGCCCCGGGGGGTGTTAATGAGCCGGGGGGGGTCGTTAATTAGCGCTAATGAGGGGTTAATTGGGCAGCCATGGCCGAGGACATGAAGGCCAAGCTGGAGAGGTACAAAACGGCCCCGTTCGACAGTCGCTTCCCCAACCAGAACCAGACCAAGAACTGCTGGCAGAACTACCTGGGTGAGCCCGGACGCCTGGGTCC